GGCGCGTTTGCCTGGGGGGTTATGGGCACACTGACCCGCTACTGAAACAAGCTCTTTTATCCCAATGGTCTAGTGGTTGGGATTCTGACATGGTATCAGAGCGGTCTCGGGTTCGATTCCCGGTGTATGCACATGTAGGCCGTTGCCGCTGTGCTTAGTCCTGGGCCTCCCAGTGTGGGGGGGTGTCAGTAGATCTGCACTGTGGATGCCCGATTGATCCTGAAGAGGGTTACAGGCGCGTTCGCCTGGGGGATTATGGGCGCACTGACCCGCTACTGAAACAAGCCCTTTTATCCCAATGGTCTAGTGGTTGGGATTCTGACATATTTTCCTTTGAGGAGACCCCCCCATTTTTTTCCAGTGGTTTTCATAATGCCCTAGGGTGTTTTATCCGGGAGAATACGGTACAATGAGAAAGGCACGAGTAAATAGGGGAAGTCCTAGCTAGGCGGAGAGGTTGGGCGAGGATGGCTCGGTGATGGTTGCGATTGGAGTGGAGGCGACTCGGGAGTGGTTTGGTGCGACGAAATAGGAAGGACAGGTTCGTCGCGTGACCCTCGGGATGGCCTCGCTAACGAGTGCCTCAGTAAGGATTCTGTAAATCCTTACACTCTCCCACCTTCTAAATAAGGCAGTCCTGTACTGAAAACGGACCCCACACTGTTGAGATACTAGCATAGATGGTAATCGAGTTTTAAGTAGGGCCTAGGCTTAGTAGCCTAGGCCAAGAGGAAGTCGAGAGAGTTTAGAAGGAGAAGTGATGTGTTCACTATAGGCTCAAGGGTACATATAGCAAACAAAGCTAGCAAGGTGCACCACCAACAATGTAACATTACACTAACTATTGCTACAAGCGGTTTATATAAGAAATGTATTTCAACACACACTAGCAAGGATGCCGTAGATCTCCCCTTCAGCTGAATTCGACGGCCGAAATGCCTTCGATAATATTTTTGAAAAGGTTGGAAGGTAGGCCGTTGATGTAGTCCGATTTCGATCTGACTATCGACGATGAACTAGCCCAAAATGAAGTTGAAGTTGGAATGTGGGCCGTTGATGAAGCAGATGTGGATCTGACGGTCGAAGACTGACGCAAGATTGGAGGGAACCTGCTGACGCGAAATTCAATCGCGATGTTGCAGAAACCGTCGATCGTGAAGCAGCGGTCGCAGTCGTCCGTCGTGCTGCTGCATTCTGACAAAGTCAGAAATTGTGCCGAGAAAACGCCGAGGAAAGAAATAGTGCAAAGCACTTTCTCCCCCCCCCCTTCAAGAAATGCTCCACAGAAAAGTTTCGCAGCTGCGCCGAGATGAAAACCAACAAAACCAGGTGTTAAGTCCCATTGAGAAGACTGATGAGCGTAGAGACCCAGGTGAAAGTTGCGTCGGTGTGGAAACTCGATGACGAATCCCAGGTGTTACATGCCCAAAATTTCTTCGAGGGCGAACCCAAAGATGTAGACCGGAAACTGAAACTAAAATTATCGAATACTCGAACTGAACCGTTTTGTCTTCACGTCGCCAGAATCAGCCGATATCTTCAGCAGGTGCAGCTGGCAGCTCCTGACGTGGTTGAGAATTAATGCAGTTGTCGTGGGCGGGTCGAAGGCGAGTTGTCGGTAGCAGAGTTGGAAATGGTTTCTCCGAGAGTTTTGTCGTAATGCGTCGATGATTCTTGGGCAGGGATGAAATTTCACAGCTGTCGCTCCCCCCTTCACTGTTGCTGCCGCCTTCTTCAGTTCGTCGTAAGTCCTTCGTACCCCTGAAAAAGTCCGTGTAAATCTCGCGGTGCTGCCCCCCTCCGTTTGACGCGCGCGTTTAACCAAACGCCGCAACTCCTCCGAAATTGTCGGCGCACCTTGCCGTAAAACCGGGAAGTCCCCACGTAAACACTCCAAAATTGTTGCTCAAATCAAACCCTGTAATGTCGCAGTTGCAGTTGCAGTTCGCCTCCGAAAATCTCGGACGTGCTATAGCCGCCCACTCGGTCACCATCTGTTTCCGTCGGTTACCCGACCCCAGCATGTGGGTTCAATCGAGAACCGGGGACTTCCCTGGGCTATTCCGAGACCGAATTTCACGGAACCTAGAGGCATCAACTGTCAGATTATAATGTTTGTCTAGTCTGTAGTGGGGTACTCAAAAGTGAGTATAACCCTTTTGGGCTTGCTACTTGTATCCCCCTCCTTTCTAGTTCAACCACTCTTCTCCTATTTCTCTTTCATATACCCTAAAACCTAGCTATGGCTTCTTAGCCTTAGCTCCTATCCTGATATGCTATCAGAGCAAAACGCTCCTGGCCTGTGGGCCCACCTGCTTCCGCTGCCCTACTGTGTGTCGCGCGCCCCGTGGCGCGCGACCTCCTATTTTTCTTCCCGCCACGCGCTTTGAGCGCGTGGCGGTTTTCTGCCCGCCGTGCGCCCCGAGGCACGCGGCGGGTTCCTGCTTCGTGCGGTGCCCTGCGGGTCTGCGCGCCGGCTCCTCCCATCACCTCATCGCGGCGTCTTGGGGGCCCGCGCGCCAGCCCCGACCGTCGCCTCGTCGCGGCATTTTGGGGGCCCGCACGCAGGCCTCTCCCGTTGCCTCGTCGCGGCGCTTTCGAGGCCCGCGAGCCGGCCCCTCCCGTCGCCTCGTCGCGGCGCCTTGGGGGCCGCGCGCCGGCCCCAACCGTCGCCTCGTCGCGGCGCCTTGAGGGGCCCGCGCGGCTCCCTAGCTCGTCGCCCGTCAGGGCGCCCTGGGGGCCGCGCCCTTCCCCTCCCCTCCCTCCTACTTTTCGCCTGCAGCACCCGCCCCTGGAGCAGCCCGCAACTGCAGCAGCCGCACCTGGAGCAGCCCGCACCTGCAGCAGCCACCCCTGGAGCAGCCCTCACCTGCAGCAGCCGCCCCTGGAGCAGCCAGCAACTGCAGCAGCCGCCCCTGGAGCAGCCCGCAACTGCAGCAGCCGCCCCTGGAGCAGCCCACACCTGCAGCAGCCGCCCCTGGAGCAGCCCTCACCTGCAGCAGCCGCCCCTGGAGCAGCCCGCACCTGCAGCCCGTCCCGTTCCCCCCCCCCCCCCCCCCCCGTGCATTCCGTGGTGCTGGGGGTGTGGGGTGCCGAGCATGGGGGTGGCGGGTGTGGGGGTGGCGGCTCTGTGTTCCTCCCCTTGCTCCTCCTCCTCCCTCGTCTCCCACTGCTGCAGCTGTCGCTGAGGGGGGTGGGTGTGTGGGAGCCTAGGGTTTAGGGTTTAAGGGGGGTGCTGTGGGAGTGGAGCTAGGGTTTGAACAGGGGGTGTGTGAGAGGGGAGTGGGGCAGCTGGGGGAGGTTGTGTGAAGGTAGCTGTCGTGTCGCCTGCAGCGCCTGTAGTCCAACGCCCTTGCTTTGGTAGCCAGTGAGCCTGTTGCACCAGTCGCCAGTGGGTCCGTTGCTCCTGCCGCTCGTCTATAGTCGCGGAGCCAGTCACTCCAGTAGTCCGTCGCCCTTGCTTTGGTAGCCACTGAGTCAGCCGCTCCTGTGCCCGTGCCTCTGCAGCTTCAGTCGTTGCCTCCCATCTTCTCTCCCTCCACAGTCTCTCCTCCTCCTCACTTACCCTCTGTGATAGCTTCTAGCTTTGCTTATCATTGTGAACTCTTGCTCTATGCCTGCATGCTATACTGATTATACCCCACTTTGACTATGGGGGTGTGTTAGATTATAATGTTTGTCTAGTCTGTAGTGGGGTACTCAAAAGTGAGTATAACCCTTTTGGGCTTGCTACTTGTATCCCCCTCCTTTCTAGTTCAACCACTCTTCTCCTATTTCTTTTTCATATAACCTAAAACCTAGCTATGGCTTCTTAGCCTTAGCTCCTATCCTAATATCAACGCCGTTGACTCCGTCGTCAAAACTGCTCCCGTCGATGTCGCTTAACGAAAATTCCTGTTTCTCCCACCAGCGCTTTGCAGATGTTTCACCACATCGCTCGTCGCCGGTCGATAGATCCCGAAGCTACGACTGCTCCCACGCTCCCCTTTTTCTGAAGAATTTCCCGAGGTGTGCGTTTAAACACCGGGGGTCCTAGGTATCCTTGCCGTTGTGTTTCTTGCCAGGCAACTTCGAAAAGTGCCCTTCAGGCGAAGTCCCCCAACGACTCAACCGCACTCCAAGAAGCGAAGAAATACCCGCAGCTTCATAATTTTTTGGTCGTTTCACCCCCCGACAATTCCGTTTCCCGCCGTTCACTCAGCGTCCGCATTTTTTGGATGAGGTATAGTCGGTGTTGCCCGCACGAACCCAGCCACGGTGGAGAAGAAAAGTCTATCGGAGTCGGGGAACCGTAGTTAAAAGGAAACCATTCCCAACCGCTTTGCAGCCCACCGTGCCCTCGTGCCACTAAAACTCCACAGCTCCTGGTTCCAGCTCCGCCGCTGCGCCGTCACCTCGTGTAGACGCCCGGGTCAGGAGAAACCAGCGAACTGTACCATTGTTGTCATGCGGCGCCCCGATTTTTTCACGTGCTGTTTCACCCAGTCCGCTTTTGTCGGAGTAGAACAATGTCGCAACTCCACCTTTTTTTTGTTTTTTCTGTACAGCTGTTGAACTAGCACCAATCCTGGTACCTTTAATCAGCACAGGGTAGGCCCATGTTCACCCCCGATATTCGGCCAAGCAAGTTGATTGCATGAGTCAGAACTAGAAACTTGGTGGGGATGGTGAGGTTCGGGCGACGGAAGGTCACAAATCGTTCACACCGGCTTTTAACCTGCCCTTCACGCCGTTCTTCAACCCCCGCTTAGCCGTCGGGCAGTTTCTTCCCGGGTTGGGGTTAGGAGTATGGTGAATGGGGTATGGTGGAATGGTGAAAGTAGGCATGGGGAATGGAAGGATGGGGAACGGAGGGAGAGTGAATGACGGGATGGGGAAAGGAGGTCTGGGGAAACGAGGAAAGGGGGATGGGAAGTAGGATGGCAGGGCGAGAGGAAGGGATTGAGAGAAGGGGGGAGGAAGGGCGGAAGAGGGGGATGGGAAGTAGGAAGAGGTGGGAAATGACGACGTGTGACGATGCCACGGGGTGCGGCGGAGATGGGGTGAGGCATGGGGAGATGAGGGATGGATGGATGAGCGATGGAGAGGTGAGGGATGGGGAGATGAGGGATGGGGAGGTGAGAGATGGGGAGGTGAGGGATGGAGAGATGAGGGATGGGGAGATGAGGGATGGAAAGATGAGAGATGAGGAGGTGAGGCATGGGGAGGTGAGGGATGGGGAGATGAGGCATGGGGAGACGAGGGATGGAGAGATGAGGGAAGGGGAGATGAGGGATGGGGAGATGAGGGATGGGGAGATGAGGGAAGGGGAGATGAGGGATGGGGAGATGAGGGATGGGGAGACGAGGGAAGGGGAGATGAGGGATGCGGAGACGAGAGTGTGGGGTGTGGCGTAGCAGGAGGAAGGAGAGTTGCAAGGCGCGGGGAGTCCCCATTCTCGTTAGAGGGGAGGGAGCGTGGGCGACGGGAGGGAGGGAGCGGTAGTAGTGACGGATGGGTGTGCGCGTACATGACATAAGGGGAGTGAGCATGAGCGATGGGAGGGGAGTGAGCGTGGGCGACGGGAGGGGAGTGAGCGTGGGCGACGGAAGAGAGTGAGGAGGGGCGAAAGAGGCGTCGCGCAAAGGCGACAAGAGGGGAGGGAGCGTGATCGTGCGCCAGGAAGGAAGCGTGGGCGACGGGAGGGAGTGATCATCCTCTTTGGAGGGGAGTGCGCGAAGGCGACGGGAGGGGAGTGCGCGAAGGTGATGGGAGGGGAGTGCGCGAAGGCAACGGGACGGGTGTGCGCGAAGGCGACGGGAGGGAAGTGCGCGAAGGCGACGGGAGGGGAGTGCGCGAGGGCGATGAGAGGGAGTGAGCTATGGCGATGGAGGGAAGTGAGACATTGACGCGAGAATGGTCGTGTGGGAGACGGAGGGGAGTGAACATAGGCGACGGCAACGAGTAGCGTGCATTTTCAAACCAATCTACACACATGGCTTCACTTTCTAACCCCCTCCAAGCACCAAACTCGTGGTGCAGTGTCGCACAGTTGGGTGACGAATGCTGAAGCTCGTCGGTGCCTGGTTTTGCTTTCGCACCTGTTCAGCTCTCGATTTTTTTTTTTTATGCCTTTCGCGAACACACATAAAGCCCCTGCGTCACTGTTGCAAAAACCATGCTGACTTCGGGCTTTAAGTGTCAAAATTCGAGACTGACACAAAGAACATATCAGAACTCGAATTTGTGTCAGTAAAATCTTGTCAGAATCCCAGCCACTTGTCAAAATATTATATATATATATATTGTATAAGTGCATGTAGTTCTAGCTGTAGTGTAGTCCCATAGTTGTCCTGTGTGGTGGTGCACTACTCTTTGCATGCTTCTCCTCTATTTGTACTTGTGATTCTTAAGTTCAAACCCTTCTTGCTTGGACATCTCTCTCATGCCTAGGTTAAACCCTAAGCTTCTAGTCCTAGCTACGGTATGCCTACTATTTGAACATGGTCTTAGTGTCAAACTATATATGTGTTATTTCTGTGTAGGCTATAGTGGGGTAGCTCACATCGGGTGCAACCCGAAGTCAAGGTTAGTACTTGTGCCCACATTTCTTTCAATGCAATCATCCATGCTTGCTATCTTGACATGGTTCCAGAGCAGTAGGTCCGTAGGACCGTTTTTTTTTTTCCGGGCCCACCATACTTAGCTTCCGACTACGGTTACCGCGTTACCCCACTACCTTGCGTCGCGCTGCCTCGCGTACGCCCTGCCTTGCGCCAGCGCCCTGCCCTACGCCGGCGCCCTGCTCTGCGCTAGCGCCCTGCCCTGCGCCGGCGCCCTGCCTTGCGCCGGCACCCTGCGCTGCGCCAGCGCCCTGCCCTGTGCTAGCGCCCTGCCCTGCGCCAGCGCCCTGCCCTACGCCGGCGCCCTGACCTGTGCCAGCGCCCTGTCTTGCGCCAGCGCCCTGCCCTTCGCCAGCGCCCTGCCCTGCGCCAGCGCCCTGCCCTGCGCCAGCGCCCTGCCCTGCGCCTGTCAGAACATATATGTAGCTTATGCTGTTGTGTAGGCTACAGTGGGGTATACCATAGGGGGTACAACCCAATTAGGGTTTTGCCATTTGTACTCACTTCACTCATAGTTCATTCATTCTTGCTCTATTCTCCACATGGTATCGAGCAGGTTCCCCCGTGGGAACTGTGCTTAGGGCCCACCACTTTTAAACTTTTTTTTCTACCCGGAGCGCGCTCCGGGCCCTCGCTCTCACTCTTTCGGCTTGCCCTGCAGGCCCCTAGCCGCCCGCGCGCCGCCTGTCCAGGCCCCTAGCCGCCCGCGCGCCGCCTGTCCCGGCCCTTAGCCGCCCGCGCGCCGCCCGTCCCGGCCCCTAGCCGCTCGCGCGCTGCCCGTTAAGGCCCCTAGCTGCCCGCGCGCCGCCCATCCCGGCCCCTAGCCGCTCGCGCGCCGCCCGTCCCGGCCCTTAGCCGCCCGCGCGCCGCCCGTCCCGGCCCCTAGCCGCTCGCGCGCCGCCCGTTCAGGCCCCTAGCCGCCTGCGCGCCGCCCGTCCCGGCCCCTAGCCGCTCGCGCGCCGCCTGTTCAGGCCCCTAGCCGCCTGCGCGCCGCCCGTCCCGGCCCCTAGCCGCTCGCGCGCCGCCCGTTCAGGCCCCTAGCCGCCCGCGCGCCGCCTGTCCCGGCCCCTAGCCGCTCGCGCGCCGTCCGTTCAGGCCCCTAGCCGCCCGCGCGCCGCCCGTCCTGGCCCCTAGCCACCCGCGCGCGCCCGTCCCGGCCCCTAGCCGCCCGCGCGCGCCCGTCCCGGCCTCACACCGCCCGTGCGCCGCCCGTCCCTGCTGCACGCCGCCGTCCTGGCCCCCCACGCCGCCCGTTAGCCGCCGTGCAGCCTGAGCCGCCCGAGCCGTCTGCGCAGCTGAGGAGCCGAGCCGCCCGAGCCGCCTGTGCCGCTGACTGCCCAAGCTGCTCGAGCCGCCTGAGCCGCCCGAGCCGCCCGAGCCGCCTCCCCCCCCCCCCCCCCCCCCCCCCCCTTTTCCCGTCGCCTGTCGAGGCGACCTGAGGGGGCCGCTTGCGGTGGCAGGTGTGTGGTCTCCCCTATTTCTCCTCCTCCTTCGTCTCGAGCCGCCCTGCAGCCGAGCCGCCTCGCCACCGAGCCGCTTTACACCCGAGCCTCCCAGCAGCCGAGCCGCCCTGCAGCCGAGCCGCTCTACACCCGAGCCTCCCAGCAGCCGAGCCGCCCTACAGCCGCGCCGCCGGGTCGCCGAGCTGCCGAGCTGCAGTTGCTGCCGAGCCGCCCTGCCGCCGAGCCGCCCGAGTCGCCCGAGCCGCAGAGCCGCCGTGCTGCCGAGCCTCTGAGTCGCCGAGCCTACTCTACCCACCACTGGTGAGCCCCTGCCCTGCTAGCACGCTGCGCGTCGCCTGCTTGCCTGCCTGCCTCCCTTTTTGGCTTGCCTGGCTGCCTGCCTTACTGCTGCTACTCCTGCTCCTGCCTCTACTGGTGGAGCCAGATGCGGCCCCATCGACGTCTGCGTGAGTCCCTCACGCTTCAGCAGCTGCGTGAGTGGTACGCTGGTTGGGGCTGTAGGGGTGGTGGCGCTATTACTGCTACCACTCCTGCTGCTTCTACTACTGGTGGCGGCCAGATGCAGCTCCCGCGACCCCCCCGCGCGTCTCTCACGCCTCAGCAGCTTCGTGAGTGGTACGCTCAGAGTGGAGGGTCTCTCAGTTCTGTTCGCTGCTCTTACGTGATTCTCACTGGTGCTCGGACTGGTCAGCCTTGTGGAACACCTAGTCACACACAGTCCCGCTGCTTCGCCCGTCTGAGCGACGCCTGGCGTACCGAGTTTGGCGACGAGGCTCAGCTCCCCGACTGGGTGGAGTTGCTTAGGCAGAGGGTAGATATATTTGCTCTTGACTATGATGCTATTCTCACTGCCATGTATGCATTGCCTACTAGTGCTGACCGTGCCGGTCACCTGTGCGTACCGCCTGACCCGGATATAGGACCTGCTGCTCTAGCTACTGGTGAGGCTGCTGCTGCTCTGGGTGCTAGTGAGTCTCCTGCTCCAGGTACAGGTGCGGCTGCTGCTCTAGGTGCTAGTGAGTCTGCTTCCTCAGGTGCGGGTGAGGCTGCGCTCTCAGGTACCACGTTGGCTTCGGCCTCCCTCACCTTTACACTTGACTCTGGGGCTTCTCGCTCCTTCTTTCGGGACCGCACCACACTCACGCCGCTTGGTCGGCCTGTTGCAGTCTCCCTGGCTGACCCCTCTGGGGGTCCTGTCCTCGCTCACTTTTCCACTGTCCTCCCGTGTCCGGCTGCCCCCTCGGGCACCCTGTCTGGCCTGTACCTCCCCTCGTTCTCGACGAACTTGGTGAGTGGTGCAGACCTGCAGGATGCGGGGGTTCACCAGTTCACTCCTGCGAGTCAGCGGGTGACCCACTGCACGGACGTACGCACAGGCCGGCACCTGGCCACGTTCTCGCGTCGGCCGGGGTCGAGCCTCTACACCCTGACCACTGAGTCTCCTCCTGTCCCTGCGTCCGGTCAGGTAGCAGCGTCGGGTCAGGTGTTTGCTGCTGCGTCCAGGTCTGGTCCTGAGTCTGCCCCCTGCTCGTGTCGCCTCTTGTCTCACGAGACTCTCTTGTGGCACCACCGTCTTGGCCACCCCTCCTTGCCCCGTCTTCGGGGCATGGCTTCCCGTGTCCTTGTCTCTGGTCTTCCCCAGTCTCTCCCTCCCCTTCCTTCGGGACCAGGACCTTCCTGTGTCCCCTGTGTCGAGGGGCGCCTCAGGGCTGCTCCTCACTCCTCCCAGTTTCCCCCGACAGAGGCTCCTCTGCAGACACTTCACATGGACGTGTGGGGCCCGGCCCCCGTCCGTGGGCAGGGTCACGAGCGCTACTTCCTGTTGGTGGTTGACGACTACTCGTGTTACACCACAGTCTTTCCCTTGCGCAGCAAGGGTGCTGTCACTGAGGTGCTGATCGACTGGATCCGCGAGGCTTGTCTCCAGCTCAGGAGGAGCTTCGGCTCGGACTTTCCTGTTCTGCGTCTGCACTCTGACCGAGGTGGGGAGTTCTCCTCTCGCCTTTTGCGAGACTACTGTCGTGCTCAGGGGATCCGCCAGACCTTTACGCTTCCGGACTCTCCACAGCAAAATGGGATTGCTGAGCGCCGCATTGGCATGGTCATGGATGTCGCTCGTACGTCCATGATGCATGCGGCTGCCCCCCATTTTCTGTGGCCGTTTGCGGTTCGGTACGCGGCGCATCAGCTCAACCTTCACTCCAGGGTCTCTCGGCCCGATATGTCCCCAGTGTTACAGTGGACGGGGAAGGTCGGCGATGCGTCTGCGTTCCGTGTCTGGGGATCTCGGGCGTTTGTCCGCGACTTGTCTGCGGACAAGCTGTCCCCCCGTGCTGCTCCATGTGTCTTCCTTGGCTTCCCCCCTGACGCTCCAGGGTGGCAGTTCTACCACCCCTCCTCTCGTCGTGTTCTGTCCTCCCAGGACGTCACGTTCGACGAGTCAGTCCCCTTCTACCGCCTCTTCCCCTACCGTACTCCTTCCCTCCCCCCCCCACCGGACTTCTTGGTGCCAGTTCCCCCCTCCGGTAGACCCCCTCCCCCCTTAGGTTCCTGCCCCTTCAGGTGTGTCCCAGGTAGACACAGTCGAGCCAGTCGAGGTTGCTGCTGAGTTTGGTCCTGCTGCGAGTGCAGAGTCTGGGGGTGCTACGCCTGCGGGTGCTGAGCTTGGGGGTGCTGCTGCTGGGGGTGCTGAGCCTGGGGGTGCGAGGCCGGAGGGTGCTGAGCTTGGGGGTGCTGCTGCTGAGGTGCTGAGCCGGGAGGTGCTACGTTAGGAGCTGCTAAGCCTGGGGGTG